CCAAGGTCTCCCTAACCACTTTGACAAAATTTTCTTGGAAATGCAATGCAACCTGGGACTTTCCCTACTTGACCCTTCTTACTTTTCTCTCCTCCACAGAGTAAGACTTGTGGCTCCATCTGAACAACTCTCATATTTCCAGCTCTCACATTTTTTACATTTCCCTTCAAATTTCTTGCATGAAAATCCTGTCTTTCTCACAGAAGTCTCCAAACATAGCTTCCTTCCCTTCTGGTCTCATTCTTCCCTTTTCAAATTGATACTTCCTGCCTTTACCTTCAAAATACCCAAACAGCTTTGTCTTGGAGTTAGCTTCTATGTGATCCCACCTAAATCACATCCCTAGGCTTTTCTATTTAAGAGTAAGCCCAGGTTGACCAATAATGCAATTCCTATACCTTAGAAGCTCAGCCCAGGCTTCTGTTGGGAAAACCCACATTTTGATAGTCTTCATATAAAACTTTTTATATTTTTATTCAGAAACAATAAAAATAAGAGCAGCCTGAATTCTAATGTTGTAGTGTTTCCTATGGCCTGAACTTCAGATACAAATCATATGTTATAGTCATCTTCTCACATGAATTGAATATCAACCAATATCATCAGTAGTAGACTTGCAAATTATTCTTTTCTATGTTACTTCAAACAGATTGAATAACAATAATCCATTGTCAATATTTGCCTTGCATGAAACTCATTCTCAAGGAGTAGAAAAGTAAATACATGGGATAGGCCCAGAGGTATTAAGATTTTTAACAAGTCTCAAGAGACTCATGATTATGTCCCCACTTTAAATGTTCATAGAACCCTGGTCTAGTTACAGACCTTATATCAAAGTGGCCAAAATAGGAATTGGTTTAATTGCATTATGTTATTTACTGTTGACATTGAATTTCTTTTTATACTACACCTGTGTGTTTGTTAAAATCCCTCATACTTTAAATAAACTAAAACATAGTCAGCAGGAGTATTAATCTTGCATGGTATATAAATTTCTAAATAGAAGAGGATCTTGAGTTTATGAGAAAAATGGTATTTATGAAGATATTATCTGATATTAAGTATGTAATTTTGCAGCTATTTTTAATTCTCAAGCATTTAGCTTTCCTAATTTAGAGAAATCATAATGTGATTCATTTTCTTATGCAAGAATCAATGTAACTGTGAGCGAAAACACAGGTCTTAACATGGCAGATTTTTCTCTGTAAATTGGCCGCATGGTTCACCTAACTGGCTTTTCCATGGTGAAAAGGCTGTATTCTCAAGGATCAGGAATATTCATTCCATTAGAGTTGACAGTTAAGGGATTGTGTGTGCATGCCTGTGTCTGTGTTTGGGGGTGTAGTCTTTCTCCCATTTTTTGTCAAGAGGGCTGAGATCTAGAGAATTATAATAACTTCTTGAAATACTCCCCACTTCCATTTGTTCCTTGGTTCACTGTTGGGCTTACAACCTTTAACTTCCTTTCTTCTAGCCTCTGTATTCTGTGCTGTGACCTAATTGCACTATTCAGTACTGTTTTTACTTCCTGAAGAAAGTCCATTTCCATGGCAGGAACAAGTCCTTTAGAGAAGAGCTAAAGGCTGAGGATCACTGATGGTTTGATCTTCAATGCCATATGTCTGTCTGAGCTGGGTAGACATCACAGAGTAAGAGTTAGAACTTCATCCTTTGTCAAAATGTTTATAAATATAAATAAATGTGTTGTTTTATAAAGGCATTGAACAGAGGTTATTATTGAGAAGTAATCCTAATATGTTTTCTTGAAATTCTGTGGGATGTTTGAATTGAAATGTATCTTAGAGTTGTTAGCTCTTATGTTTATTAATGAGGATACTTAAGAGTTTTGGGAATTTGTCAGGAGGATGAATTTTTTTTTTCTCTGAACTTCAAACTTTGGGACCTGAATCTTGTAAGTTAAACTGACAAAAGACAGAACAATAGGACAAAATTACAACTTTTATCAATGTTAATATTTTTACTCAGAAGCTTGACAGAAGAGAAGTGAATATTCAAAAAATCAGTTACATGTGGGGGCGTATATACCATTTTAACAAAGGACAATAAATTGTGCAGAAGTGACTAAACAAAGGAAAGAGGATTTGGGATTCTCAGGTTAATAGACTATGGGAAAGTGACTAGAAAATATGTGAAACTAGTAGAAAATAAGGATTATCTTAATAAGAACTCTATGCTGATTTATCCTAGTATCACTCATCTCTGGTGAAGAGATTTAGTCCCCTCTTCCTGGTACAGAGGATCACTTATCTCAAAGGAAAGTTCATCTTTTGCATTTAGGCAGATGTAAGACAAGGTTTTTTCCCTATATCTATTGTTTCCCAGCTGTCTTCAACTCAAAATAACCTTATGTCAATGTGGCATAGTTTGGGGTGGCATGTTCTAAGAATAGGTTATTTTTTATCATTACCCATTAAATTATCACACACAGAAAATTTTATTCAAACCTCAGAATTGAGGAGCAAAGGGGGAAATTCACTCGACTTGAGAGCACAAGAAACAAAAATCAGAATGTATTAGGGGTTTCTTTTTAGTAAAAACTACGAAAGAGAAATCAGAAATTTCAAATGTCCAGATTAAAAGGCTGAAAACCTTTCCTTCAACTTGTCAATTTTAAAGATGAAGAAATAGAGTTATAGAAAGGTTAAATGATTTGTCCATAGTGACCCAAATAGATAGATAGAATAGCCAATTGTAGGGCTAGATCTCATTATCCATATATCTCAGTTAGGGGAGTCTTCCAGCTACAAAGATCAGAAATTGCATCTCAAAATGGCTTATTTGGCAAGGAGATAACCTCTCAAAATTAAATGTCCCTGAAGAGCGGCACCAGGCTTGATTAACTCAGTGGTTCCACAAGGTCATTAAGGATCAACATTCTACCTCTTCTCAGCTACCTGAATTTTAGCAAATCTTTTTTTTTTTTTTTATTGTTGGTCGTTCAAAACATTACATAGTTCTTAATACATCAAGTTAACTCCTTTGTGGTTCTTAAATGACTCCCTTTGTTTCAGGTGTTGTTTGTAAGTATGTAACTGTTCAATGAAAAGAAATTGGTGCATTTACTCTGAATTTATTTCCTTTTGGTAGTAAAAGACTAACAAAGACTCCTATGGACTTCTCTCAGACATTAGCTAGGATTATGTCAATTACCAACACAGAGGTTTCACTCCTTCCTATATCCTTGGGCAAGAGGATATGTCACCTGCCATGTGTGTATAATCTTACAGAGGGGGCCAATGCCTGATGAAGAGTAAATACAGGAAGTATTTCCTTTTTTTTTTTTAAAGTAGTATTTAAATTGAAACAATTTTCCTCTTTTTTTTTTTTTTTGAGAGAGAGAGAGAGAGAGAGAGAGAGAGAGAGAGAGAGAGAGAGAGGGACAGAGAGACAGACAGAGAGAGAGAATTATTTATTTTTTAGTTTTTTTCGGTGGACACAACATCTTTGTTTGTATGTGGTGCTGAGGATTGAACCCGGGCTGCATGCATGCCAGGCGAGCGTGCTACTGCTTGAACCATATCCCCAGCCCAAAGTATTTTCATAATGAACCAACACAGTGAGTCTGGAACCTAACACCCAAGACTTTTTGGGATCCAAAGTAGGCTTACTCCATAATCTGGGAATGTTCAATACAGGCAACTGGAAATTAAGAACAATGTTTTGGATGAAGAGGCTGAGATGTTTTTTAAATTAAGAGCTCAAGACTGTACCTAGACTCTCATCAAGAAGGCACCAACTTCATAATCAATTAAAGATAAACTGTATTCTTGGCGAACTCGAGCAGGAGCTGTTTGTGCCTGATAATAATACAAATTGAAAGTGAGAAAAAAAAAAAGAAAGTGAGAAAGCAAACATTCTTCCAGTCTCCACCCATATGATGGCAGGTGGATATCCTGCCTTACCTGCCCCAATTTTATTCCTGGAAAGAGAACGTGGATAGAAAAGTTCACCAGCTAGACTGCCATGAACAGGACCAATGATCACACAAAACTGCCCATCTCCTTTTATTCTAGAAACTCTGCCTCCCGGAAACACCTGCAAGTGACCCTTTAATGATTGCTTTGTCTTTTCAACTCTCTTTATTCTGGGGAAAAGGTTCCTTACACACAGAACTTTGAATATTGAAGTAGTATCTCATCCACTGAGAGCGTATGCACTGGTATCATTCTGACACACGCAGACTAGTTTTTGATGGGTTGGGCTTGTGTACTAGTCCTTCTGATCAGAAATGGAAGAAGAAATAACGTAATCATGGATGTTCACAGATGAGGCCAAGACCACTCCAAGGGACATATTGTCCACTCCAAGGGACAGTGCCTCAGGAGGCCCTGTCTAGACAAGCATCCTGACAATCAAAAAATCTTAGCTCACTCCTCTCCCTTTCTTTTCCCTATTGCTTGGTTATCACTGTACCTCTGGGCAAGGCTCTGTGAGCTGATATATATCAAAACTGAGGAAGCTGCTCATGGGGAATTTTCCAAATTTTCTCCTACCATACCCCCTGTGTAGTCCTGCTGCCCCATCTTCATTCAAACTCTCAATTCCCCAGCCTTCCCTTTGGGCTGTGCAGACACAAAGATTGATGAATGCACTGGGCTGCAGGGAGCTCCACAGAGTTCTGGCCTCCTGGAGGACATCAATTTGGCTCCCCTTTTCCCCTTTAGTGGTAATTGAATGTCAGGATAACAGATGGAGGGGAGGCAGAATGAACCACAGTCTCACTTTCAGCAAGTGGGGCAAAGACTGGAGGAAGGAAGGGTTAAAATGTCAGTTCTGAGACTTAAATTTTTAGGTTCATTTGGTGTTTGTTTTTCTAAAAGAGTTTGGAGGGAATTTGGCAAGTAAAAAAAAATGCAAGTACATCTTAATTCTTAACAATAGTTACTAAAATTTCTCTTTGTAGGATGTGACATAGACCTGTCCAAGGAGAGATCTCCATGACTGACAATGAGAAACCAGAAAAAAATTTAAGACAGTGATTAGATCATTTGCGCACACATTTATTCACCATCAGGTCACTTGAATTTGTCCTCAAATACTAAAATACTTGTACTAACTACATTACCAGATTGGACTTTGGTTAACTGCATCTTCTCTACCTCCACCTCCTTCCACATGAAGCACCCTTTCTTTTAGGAAATAATCCATGTCTTCATTGAGTTTCAGGTAAAGATGAGTCCATCCATTCCTGGCTTTAGCCATGATCAGATGATTTAATACTAGAAATCTGAGTACAAATCTGCAAAGAAGCTGGTCCAGCAATGGGAATAGGATCATTACTTTATTCTGAAATTCATGTTTGACCACTTAGAAAAGAAAAACCCTCTTTCCTCTTGCTACCTGTAAGGTTATAAGCCTGAAAATACTGTGAGCAACCTGAGATTTATGTCAATATAAAGAAAAGCAGAAACAGACAGAGGAAGAGGGCATGATGATGGTATTTGAGCTGTGGAATCCAGCCATGCCTGTCATCCTGTTATGAGAGTCAGTAGGTCCAGTTGGAGGACTCTCATTTATAAAAGAGAGAATTCTAATGCAGTCAAGTTATATCAGCTTTAACTTCAGATATTATCCCAATTAAATCCATTACTTGTCCTCTCTAGGCCCTCTATGCTTCTGGATGAATCTAAGCCAATATAATGCTCTGCTATAGTCTTCAAAGAATATGCTTTTCTGCTACACTGTCCAAAGAGTAACTAACTATTCACCTTTGTTTTTAGAGACTGTTATTTTTAAACTTCTCATTGAAATGATATAAAATTTAGTGAAAAAATTTGCAGAGTTAATATAAAGAATTCTTGTGTTCCCTTCATTGGTTTCTCAAAGTACTGACACATTATTAATTTTTAGATGAAGCATGAATACTAGGAAATTAATATTGATAATATGTTAGGTAATCTATACACCTTGTTTAAATTTTACCAACTGTTGCAATAATATTCTGTTCTTGGTCAAGTTTCCAATTTAGGATTATAAACTGCATTTGATTGTTTTTTTTTTCTCTTTAAATGTATCTTAATCTGAACCATTCACCAATCTTTGTTTTTCATGGTCTTGACACTTTTGAAGAGGACTGGTGAGTTATTTTACAGAATTTCCTTCAATCTAAATTTTCTGATGTTTCTTTATGATAAATTCAAATTGTGTATTGGTGGCAAGAATGGAACAGAAGTACAACCTGTGGTGGTGTACACCTATAATTCTAGTGACTCGGGAGGCTGAGGTAGGGAGATCGCAAATTTTAGGCCAGCATCAGCAATTTAGGGAGGCCCTAAGCAAATTAGTGAGATCCTGTTTCAAAATAAAAAATAAAAAGGGCTAAGTATGTGGCTCAGAGGTCAAGTGCCCTGGGTTAAATCCTAAGGCAAAAAAAATGGCATTGAAGCCATATTGTATGTTAGTGCTTCATATAAGGAAGCACATGATGTTGTAGGAAAGGAATCAGCAGATATTTTTCTTTTTTGTAAAAGACCAGATGGTACATATTCTGGGCCCCAAACACAGTCTCTGAGACATACTTTTTTTTCTTTAATGTTTGTGTGCGTGTTAGTGTGTGTGTGTGTGTGTGTGTGTGTGTGTGTGGATTAATAATATCTTGAAATTATAAAACCATTCTTAGCTCCTGGCTGTACACAAAAGGGCTGAAGATTCGACCTTGCCCTTGGGCCAAAGGACCCCAGTTATACAGGGATGCTTTGAAAATATGTTGGGTAATAGCAGCCTCCTTTTCAACAACCCCTCCCTACAAACTTGGGAGTAAAACATTTAGATCATGTACTACCTTTTTGGAAAAACAGAACCACAGAACAATTTGTGTGTGTGTGTGTGTGTGTGTGTGTGTGTGTGTAAAGATTTATTTTCAGGATTTGGCTCATGTGATCATGGTGTGTGTGTGTGTGTGTAAAGATTTATTTTCAGGATTTGGCTCATGTGATCATGGTGGTTGTCCACAAATCTAAAACCTGTAGGGTAGACTGTCACACTGGAGATCCAGGTAAGAATGGAAATCTATCTGCTGGCTGAATTTCCTCATGATAGGGCAAAATCAGTCCTTTGTTTTATCCAGGCCTTCAGTTAATTGGATAAGGATCACCCACCATATGAAGGGCAATATACTTTACCGATTTAAATATTAATCTCATCCAAAAACACTCTTGGAGAACATCTGGAATAATATTTGACTAAATATCTGAGAACTGTGGCCTAGCCAAGTTGACACATAATCTTACTATCACAAGACCCTATCAAAACCTGTAGGACTATACACAATTAAGTCATCATTAATTTCCTAATCTCCCAGCACTTTCCTATTTGATAATTGTGCTCTGTGTAGATCAGTAGGTCTCAAAGTTTCTTGTGAATAACATTCACCTGGAGGGCTTTTGGAAACCAGACTTAGGGCCCCATACCCAGAACTTCTGTTTCAGTGGGTCTGGGATGGGACATCCCAGTGTGCGATTCCAAAAATGTCTCACCCCATGTTGATGCTGCTGGTTTGGAATTTTGGAGAACAAATGTTATAGACATTCTGGTATTCTTTCTGAATAAACAAGCAAAGCTCCCTTGCAATTCAGGTTGCTCATCTGGATGTCCTTCTGCCAGGATGAATCTTTCTCTGGGTATCTGCTTATAATTGGCTGTTGTTAAATGCTTAAGGACTGATGCTGGTGGAGAGGACAATGTCCTGGTTCATAGCATTTTCTGGTTTCTTTTGTGCCATTCCTCCTTCCTGATATTTTGTCCTGTATAAATATATAAAAATATACATTTTTACATATTGATATATGCTTTCCTGCATTTAATATTTCCCTTACAATATTTATTTTTAATTTTTCTCCTACCTGATTTTGAGCTACCAATGGATGTCCCTGAACATGAACTTGAGAAGACATGCCCCTACTGGTTCTCAGGAATCAATGTAAGCTAGCTCAGTGCACTACTGTTTTGGTGACACTTTTGCATATCTGCTCACTTCCTTTGGGAAGGCTTCGCAGACCACCTGATCAAATAGCCCAACTCTTCCCCAACCAGTCTCTCTTATTTTAGTTCATTGCATCTATTTCCAGCTAGAATAGGTTTCCATTTTTAAGTTTTTATTGTCCCAGGTATTAAGTAGAAATCTTTTTAAAAGGCAGACTTTTTTTTTTTTTAAGTCTCATTCCATGTTGTATCCTTGATGCCTACAAGGATACTTGGCACAGAATAGGTGATCAATACTGATTTGTTGAATGTATGAACAAAGGCAGGAATTGATCTGTGCATTTGTTCATTGTCTGTCTCCTGCGTATACCACTGGTACTTCCATGAGGGAAAGATTCTGTCTGGCATTGTTCACCATTGTTCCTTCATCCCTGGCATATAACAAATATGAAATGAATAATTTTTAATGACTTAATGTATTGAGTTGTGGTGATGATAAGATGAGAGAGTGTATTTAAAAGTACTAAGGAAGTAGGAAATGGTGAAAAAAATATAAAAGGGGCTGTGTACCTATCCAGCCTCTAACTGTAAAAAAAATTCTGGCCCTGTCAGGGAGGGTGTACAGAGAGTGCAGACAGGAAAGATCCTGGAACATCTCTCTGATTTTAAGAATCCATTAGCCAACTCACACTTTAAGTTGAATTTTTGTCTCAAGGTTTGAAGCACAAGACTTTCTTTTTCCTTTTCTTTCTTTATTTCTCTCTTTTTTTTTTCTTTTTAGCAATACTGGGGCTCTTACCCAGGACCTTGTGCACACCAGGCAAGCTGAATTATGCCTCTAGCCCATCATGATTACTTGTTTTGGTGTTATTTTTCAGGAGATTACAGTTGAAGAAGCTATGACCTTCATACAAATTATGAGAGTATAAGATTGGCAGGGCTGAAGGCCTCTAAAGAAGTGCATGTGACAAATATTCAGAGCTAAATATAATCCAAGAAGCTCAAACTTGGTAAAGAATTTCAAGAATCAAGAGCAAATACCCAGTTCCTTCTACCCCTTTATAAGTTGGCTTGTCAGATGGTGCCCCTGAAAAAGCAAAGCTGTTCAGGGGACCTGGTAGGTGTCAGCCCAAGAAATATGGGCAACTCATCTGCATATCTTTTAGTGACCTTCCAGAATGACAGCCAAGCCACCAACGCTTCCCTGTTTGCAAATGATAGAGATCTTATTTCTGGGGACGGCAGGATTGATGTGGCAGCCGCAATGCCATTAGACCTGGAAGATGCTCTGTTCTCATTACTGTCTCCTGGCAACATAGCACCAGATGCCGCTGTGAATATTAACGATCCTCATTCATGTAACCTTTAGTGACTTCCCCCAATATGCACAGGCTGCAACCAGAGACGGCTGCTATCTGCTTCTGCAGTCTCCATCTCAGCAAATCTTTCCTTCTCCTCCCCTTTTGAGAAAAGAATCATTAATGAAATTTTTATCTAAGGACAGGATTTCTACTTCTCTATGGAGATGCTTACTTTCCAAGTCACACCCTATTTTCTAATAAAGATAATGGCGTTCCCATCCTGCTGGGCTCATCTATGATCACTTTTGTTGATTTTATCTCCTGGTTGGAATATGTAATTTGTCTAATATCTTCACTTTCTTACATGTGGGGTTTAAAAACAAACATGGAATTGGGCAAAAGGAGAAATCAAATATTACCAAAATCTCAGTGGGTTTCATACTTCTTATCAACTTCCAACAACCTTAAAGATGGAGTCATGTAATAACAGGTCACTCCAGATTCTGAAGTCTAGTTCTTTGACTTCTTGTGCTAACACATACCCTTGGAAACGGAAGATGTATTAAATTGTTTCAAGCTGGGATGTAGAGTTCCTTAAGCTTTTTGTCTTATTTCTTTAGGTCTCTTAGACATTAGCCAGAGGTTATTCTTGAGGGCAATTGATGCACTGCAGGTAGCAGAATCTTCCCGTCTTTTCCTTCCACCATCCTTAATACTTAGTGAGAAGTAGTCAGAGCTAGGTCCATCCTGAAGCCTGGCTGTGTTTACTTGTGGGATCCTGGGAAAGTTGCTTAATCTTGCTGAACTTCAGTTTCATGCCTATAAATGCAGATACAGGCACCTACTGCACCCAGGTTGTTGAAATATTAAATGACATAATATATATGACATGCTTAGCCCAGTGTCTGGCACATAGTAAGAACTCAGTAAATGGTAGGTTGTTAAAATAAACAGCCCTTAACACAACAGACCTCCTGGTATAGGCTTGGCTTACTTTGATTTAAGAAGTGGCCATGTGACTTGTTTCCAACAATGGTATGTCAGCATATGGGACTGAAGTAGAGGCTTGATAAGGGATATTCTTTGCAGTCCTACCTCTGGGAATGTTGCTGCCACTATGTGAGGAAGCCTAGTCTATCTTCCTGGAGAATGAAAGGCCACACGGAAAGAAACCCTGCAAACTCAGAAGCTGAATAAAGCTGCATGAGTGAGCTCTTACCTAGCATGCACTCATCTGGGGCAACAAAACTCCAAGGTCAACCACACAATCTTGAGAAATACAATTTTTATTTTAGCTATTAAGATTTGGAGACATTTATTATGCAGCAAAGACTACACTGATGCTGGTGGCTTTTGTAATTCTCATCTTATTTAAACCACACAATAATCCTGTGAGAAGGGTGCTGTCTCTCCCACTTGACTGACAATTAAGTGGACACTCAAGGATATCAGGTGGGTCTCTCTCTGATTGTCCAGATGCTTAAAGTAGCTGTTGAAGTACAAGATGCAAAGTCTTAGGGGAGAGAAACTTTTCACTTAGAATCCTATGTTGGATCTCTTGATATTCGTAAGGTTCTCTAATGTACATCAGGAAAGCATGACTGAGCCAAGGAAAGGAGTTTACACACCAACCCAGCTCTCCTTCCTCCTTAAAGGAAGAGACTGGCTACAGTTTCTCATCTGATGCTGCTGTCCCTGTTGGTGGCTTTGTGGATGTACTGGTGTCACCTCCTAGATCAATAGAGGAATAGAGTCTTCTAGAAACTGCTGCTCTTGAAAGCAGAGATGCAGGGCAATCTTTCTGGTGTCCCCTTAACCCCTTAAGGACTGATTTTGTCCCTCAGTGGAGTAAGTTACTATACAGCTTCTAAATTTCAAGCATTAAACAAACAAACAAACAAACAAAAACCCCATTACTTTAACTTAAACTTGTAGGTTTTAAAAGTCTCCTAGAAAATTCAGGTGTCCTCAAAAGAACAGCGTATCAATCCAGTTAATTGCTCATTGTGAAATAGAACACAAGGCAGATTTATATTGGAGGGTGTCTAACATTGATGATCTTAGGTCAATACTATCCAATAGAAATATACCATTAGACACAGATGTAATTTTAAGTTTTCTAGTAGCTGCATTAAAATGAATTTAAAAAAAGAAAAGAAAAAACAGAGTGGGGGATACAGCTCAGTAGTAGAGCTCTTGCACTCATCTGGGTTCAGTCCCTAGCATGGAAAAACAAAAGAATTAAAGTAAAACAGGTTAAATTAATTTCAATATTTTTATTTAAACTGATTTCAAACACTTAATTTCAATGCATAGTCAATTGTTAACAGTAATTAATGAGGCCAGGCACAGTGGTGCATGTCTATAATCTCAGGGTCTCTGGAGACTGAGGCAGAAGGATTGCAAGTTTAAAGTCAGCCTGTGCAACTTAGCAAGGCCTTAAGCAACTTAGTGAGACACTGTCTCCAAATAAAAAATAAAAAGGCCTGTGGTTCTGACTCAGTGGGTAAGAGGGTTAAATCTCTGGTACAAAAAATATATATATATTAATGAATTATTTTACATACTTTTGAGGGACATCGAATTTTCCAAATCTAGTATGCACTTTGCATTAACAGAACAATTTAGTCTAGGTTCACCACACAGGGCTAGTGGCTACTCTGTTGGGCAGCACAGGTGTAGAGACTCAGTTCACTGGACTGTAAAGTGGAGACAATAATACTGTCCTTGTAGTACGCTGTGACACCCAATGAAATCACAGGTGAAAGTTCTGTGTCACCATACAGGACCACAGAAGTGTGCCAAAAGTCTTTACACAATTTTAAACTTTAATAACTTACATTGTTCAGAAGCGTAAATGCTACAATTTTATTAAACAATTTTAAACTTTAATAACTTACATTATTCAGAAGCGTAAATGCTACAATTTTATTAAACATAGAATTTGAAAATGTTTTAAGTTTGCTTTATACATATTTACTTTCATAAATTTAAAATAATACTTTTTAAATTTAATTATAATTTTTTTCTATGTTAGGGATTGAACCCAAGGCCTCAGGTACTCTATCACTGGACTATATCCCCATGCCTAATTTAATTTTTTATGTGCAGTAGATTCTAAGATGTCACTCACAAGTCCTCTTTTTTGACCATATCATCATTAAATCTAATGCCATTAGACTGTTTCAGTGTGGAAATCATATCAAACTGTCATGTATGTTTTGGACACTCACTGAACAGCAATTGATGAAAATTTATAACATTAAAAAATTGACTAGAGTGACACAGCACAGAAATTTGAATTTAATGAGAACTTGTTACTATTAAAAAATTTTAATTCACCTTTCAAATGTTATTTGTTGTAATCTTATAGTATTTAAAGTTTAAATTTGCACTAGCCTTCTGGACACCATATTTATGTTACCATCATATGGTAAAAATTACTTTGCACCCATCAATTCTAGCCTGTCACCAAAGAATTATCCTCAAAAGGGCTGTGCTACAGAGGTTGTTATACCAGC